CACACCTTTCCCAATTTTAAAACATTCAGTGTTCCCATATTCTGTTCGAACAACTGCCTCTTGGTCCAGATACAGATTTCTTAGAAGTACAATTAAGTGTTCTGGAATACGCATATTTCTCAATGTTGTCCATAGCTTGTCATGATCCACACAATCGAAAGTCTTCATGTAGTCAATAAAGCATAGATAAACATCCTTCTGATATTTTCTGGAAGCGTAGTGGTTACGAATCAGGCTGCTAACCTCAGAGTCAGCAGTTCGAAACTACCAGCTGTTCCGTGGGAGAAAGATGAAGAAGCATTCTGCTCCCTTAAAAATTTACAACCTCAGAAACCCTGTACAGGGTCTCTATGAGTCGGCACCAACTCCACAGCGTACCACCACTGTAATGATCCATCACCCACGGCCAGAAAGCCCATTCAGGGTCACTGGGGCTCTGTAGGACCGAATGGAACTGCCCCAGGGACTCTAGGGCTGGAATCTGCCGAAGCAGACACCCTCTTTCTCTCCTGAGGTTCAGCTGGCAGGCTTGAACCTCTGGCCTTGTAGTTAGCAGCCCAACACCTAACCCACAGCGCCACCACTGCTCTTTCGGTGGTCTCTGCCCTCTCTCTGTAGAGTGTCTTCTGAGCCTGACCCTCTTTCGTTTTCCCCTGTGGTCAAGGACTCTGGGGTCACTTCCTGCCCAGCCACCATGTGTCCCCCATGTCTCCAGTGTCCCCACTCAGACGGGCTTCTGGGTCTCACCAAAGTGCAGTCCCCTTCCAAGTTCCTCAGGTTCTGAAAGGAAGAAAGAAAAGTCCCCACCCTGCTGCTACGCCTGGGCCCCCACCTGCAAAGTGGGTTCATGAGTGGCCTGTCATAGGAAGGACAGGCAGACGTGTGTGGACGGGCCAGCTGGAATGTCCTGTGTCTGACAGATCACCTAGACTCAGTGGCTCAAAACCACACCGGATCACCAGATCACCACGTCACAGCCCTGGGTTCAGGGTTTCCGCAGGTGGCTCCAGGGAGAGCTGTCACCTCCCTTCCCAGGCCTTGACCTTCCCTCTGCTAAGGACCTAGTGAGGACCTGGCCAGCACACACAGTGAATATGCTAACTCAGAGGTTGGAGGTTCAAGTCCACCAGAGGCACCTCAGAAACCCTGGTGATTTCCTTGCCCACATTCACCCATTGAGAGCCCTGTGGACCAGTTCTGCTGTGGCATCCAGTGGTCACTATGAGCTGGCTCTGTGTAGTGAGTCTCTGGACCCAGCCAGTCATCCAGGACCGTGTCCCATCTCAAGATTCTTGTCATCAGTGTTGCTGCCATCAAGCTGTGGCCTGGTGACCTTGAAGGTACAGGCTACAACTGCCCTGTCGGTTTTCTTGTAATCGTAGTTTTTGGTTTAATTGTGAACTGGGTACAGGTTTGCAGAGCCAATCAGTTTTGCATCCAGCAGTTCATATGGACTTGGTGTCCTCCCCTTCCTCCCTCCTTCCTGACCCTCCCTACCTACTGAACTTTGTCCTCAGGTAAATGCTGCCCTTCACGACTCCCTAATGTGATTGGGCTCCTTATTGTCCTCTGGCTGGAAACTGAGCACAGAGGTGTGTGGTTGGGAGCTCTGTGGAAGCAGGTCACCAGGCCTTTCCTACACAGCACCTCTGGGTGGCTTCTAACCACCAACTTTAGGCTAGCAGCCAAGCGCTGAGCTGTTTGTACCACTCGGGAACCCTCTTTTGCCCTGGAAAAAAGTATAACCACTGATCCTGGGGATAGGCCCAGCCTTCTCTGGGGTCGTCATTGCTCCAGCCCCGGACTGCAAAGTGTGGTGCAGCACCTTCTGCACGGAGCTTAGAACCCACTGGCTCCCTCTGCCCTGCCTCCCCACACTGGCTCCTCTGTGTGCTAGATGGTGTGAGCCTTCCACAGGCGAGCTCTGCCCATCCCTGGTCCCCGGTGCCACACTTAGAGCCAGGCGCTGGGCCATGCTGCTGGCAGCTTGCCTGTGGGGTGCCTGGTGCACACAGCTTGTGTGGCATCTCTGGTGCCCCAAGGAGCAGAAAGGACCAGAGGGGGAGCAGGTGGTGAACTGCTCCCCACACAGGGTGGGGAGGGGATGGCACTGACCAGGGTGGGGAGGCGGGTGGTGCCCCTGATTGACAGTTAATAGGATCTGCACATGCGGGCCTCAGACTATCCCGAGTAGGAGGGCGGCAGGTTCTCAGTGTTTCAGCTGTGCTTCCTGGGGTCACTGAGAAAGCAGGAGGCTAGAGGACCAGGGTGGGATGTTGCGGGGACAGACCAGTAGCCTCTTGCCCCCCTTGTCAGTGCTTAGCATCAGGGGACCATCCTTGGAGCCATGATGCATACAGGCTGTGTGACCTCAGACTACAGCTTAACCTCTGAGCCTTTGCTCACATGTCTGAGCAGTGCCCTCATCTGGGGGTTGTCGAGAAGACCCCAGCCACACACGCTAACCATCCATCCACTCTCCCTCCCACCCCCCAGGCACGCCATTCCCCAAGAACTTCCTGCAGGTGGTGAAGAAGATCTTGTCTCGGCTGTTCCGCGTGTTTGTGCATGTCTACATCCACCACTTTGACCGCATCGCGCAGATGGGCTCCGAGGCGCACGTCAACACCTGCTACAAACACTTCTACTACTTCGTCAAGGAGTTCAGTCTCATCGACACCAAGGAGCTGGAGCCACTGGTGAGGACCCCTCCCCCGTGGTCACCACCACACAGCCCGAGAGGCCCACTGAGGGCCAGTATGCACATCCGGGGACTCAGGCAACAGGAGGATGTTGCGGGTGCCCGGATGTCTCTTCCTCTCTGGTCTGACTCCCACACCCTGGTCTCAGGCCCGCCCCTAGACTTGGAGGGCAGGAGGTGGGTGGGTGTGGTCCTTATGAGGTTTCGGTGTTGAGACCATCACATAGAAGAACAAGGGCAGATCCAGGATCTCCATAGTTTGGGGAAGACGGTTCTGTCATCCCTCTTGTCATCTCCTGATCCACCTGGAACCCCCGTCCCTGTCCCTCCCCCCATCTCACAGCCCTGAAAACTATGGATCTTGGAGGTCAGGAGAAAGCCACTGGACTGGTGGTCACCTGCTGTCCCTCGGCCGAGTGTGCATCCTGGGGATGTGCACATCAGGGCCCCAGGTTGAATGTGATGGCTGGTGTGTAGGAAGCAGGGTCCACACAGGGAAGCCTCGCTTCTGTGCATTTGGGACCTGATTTGGGGTGACCAAGAATACTGATGTCATTTCTAAATGGGGAAATTCCAGGCCTCCTGGTGGTGTCGTGGGTTAGGTGGTAGGCTGCTAGCCAAAAGACTCAAACCCATTAGCTGCTCCCCAGAGACGTTTTAAGGCCATAAGCTTCCAGAAAGATTGACAGCTTCAGAAAGCCTGTGGGTCAGTTCCTCTGTGTCCTCCGGGGTTGCTGACTGGGCCAACAGCCTAGTGCCTGGGCACTGCTTCCCAAAATGAATGAGGCAGGGAGTGTGGGGGAACCCCATCCCCGCGGCCCCTCCTGGTACTGCCAGCCACACCCTGCTATGCCTGTGTCCCTCCCCATTCAGGAGCGGCACCCCTAACGGGGGTCAGAGGCCCCACCTTAGCATCCTTTTTTCTGGAAAGATCTTCACACTGCCCACTGCCTGGGCCACAGGACACAGGATGAGTTTTCATTGTCATCTGAGCAGAAATGCAGTGTCTTAGTCCCCTGGTGGAGCTCTGGTGTGGCGCTGTGGGATGGATGGCGGGGTCCTATGAGTCTGAACCCACTCGGCTGTAGCGCAAGGACCACCAGGGGGCGCTGTAGCAGACAGACATTCTCTCTCAACGGGGAAACGAGTTCAGGGCACAGCTCTTGGTCAGCTCTGGGTCCTTGTTTCCCTCAACTTCTGTCCCATGGGTCCTCTGTCTCCCCTGTACCTGCTGTTCCCCTTTTATCTCAAACATGAATGGCTTACCACGCACCGACACTGATATCACCTCAGTAACACAACAAAGCCCTGTTCCTCAACAGGCTTGGGGGCTGGTGCAGTGGGCAAGTGTCAGGCTGCTAACTGAAAGGTCAGCAGTTTAAATCCACATCTGCTCCGAGGGAGAAAGGGGTGGCTGTCCACTCCTGTAAAGATTCACAGCCTTGGACACCCAATTGGACAGCTCCGCTCTGTCTGTCAGGGTCTGAGTGGGGACCAACTCCACAGCAGTGCGGTTTACATGCACAAGGGCAGGGGTGAGGATTCACAGCACATTCTGGGGGACTGCAGTTCACCCCGTAAGGCTCACTGCACATGTGGTTGTTAGGTGCCATCGAGTCAGTACCAACGCATAGTGACCCTATGCATAGCAGAGTGAAACACTGCCCGATCCTGGGTCAACCTCACTACTGTTGCCACACTTGAGTCCATCGATGCTACCACTTGGCCCCGGGGGTCTGCCTCTTTTTCTCTGACCGTCCACCCTACCAAACATGATATTCTTCTCCAGCGACTGTTCCCTCCTGGCAATATGTCTGAAATATGAGAGACGAAGTTTGGCCATCTTGGCCTCCAAGCTGTGGCCTGGTGACCTTGAAGGTACAGGCTACAACTGCCCCGTCGGTTTTCTTGTAATCGTAGTTTTTGGTTTAATTGTGAACTGGGTACAGGTTTGCAGAGCCAATCAGTTTTGCATCCAGCAGTTCATATGGACTTGGTGTCCTCCCCTTCCTCCCTCCTTCCTGACCCTCCCTACCTACTGAACTTTGTCCTCAGGTAAATGCTGCCCTTCACGACTCCCTAATGTGATTGGGCTCCTTATTGTCCTCTGGCTGGAAACTGAGCACAGAGGTGTGTGGTTGGGAGCTCTGTGGAAGCAGGTCACCAGGCCTTTCCTACACAGCACCTCTGGCTGCACTTCTTCCAACACAGATCTGTTGGTTCTTTTGGCAGTCCATGGCACTTTCAGTATTCTCCTCCAACACCACAACTCAAAGGCATCAATTCTTCTACGATCCTCCTTATTCACTGTCCAGCTTTCGCATCCATATGAGGTTATTGAAAATACCATGGCTTGGGTCAGGCGCATCTTAGTCCTTAAGCTGACATCTCTGCTCTTCAACACTTTAAAAAGGTCTTGTGCAGTAAGAACTCAACAGGTATTAGGGTTAGAATTTCAACCCACATTTTTGAGGGACACAAATCAGTCCATAATGGGGGCCGTGGAAGCATACCTGGCCCCCTCTTTAGACGTCTCCATCTTGAAGATATGGCCAGACACCTGCTTTTGTCAGTAAGTTTTTATTGGCACGTGGCCACGCCCATTCACCTGAGGTCTCCAGAAGCTCTTGGGCTGAGACAGTGGAGTGGGGTCTTGGTGACAGAGAACACCTGGCCTGTGAGGCCTCCAGTGTTCACTCTCTGACCTTGTCAGAAGCGGGTGCTGACCCCTAGCGTGTGACTGTTGTCTGCTTTCTTGTTGTGAATGTTGCATGTCATGTGTGGCTTCCTGTGTGATCTCACCTTCTCCTGGGTGCTTGTTTCCCACAGAAGGAAATGACCGCTCGAATGTGCCACTGAGCCCTAGGCCGTCTCCATGTGGACTCTGGGATGACAACGGTTTGGGATGTCAGCATCTAGTTTTCTAACCCGAGACCTCAGTGGACTTGACATCTGTCGGGCCACCAGACTTCTGCCTCTTTCTGGTTCTCAAGTGACCACAGTGCGTCCCAGCCTCCCTGAGCCTCATGAAGAGGTGGGACTTGAGTTCCGTAACTCAACGTGTTGTCTGTCAGCAGATGGAGAACTTGACTTGGCTCTTAAACCACTAGCATTGACCAGAAGACTGGAGAGCGTTAACAGAGTGGCTCCCAGCACGTGGTCTAACCCTCCAGAAAGTTCCAACTCAAACCTTCCCGGCCCCACCTAGACCTGCACTGTGCAACCTGGGTGTGGCCAGTGCCCCTTTCCTCAGAGACCCCCGGCCTGGGAAGGGAGAAGCAGAGGGCTCCTCTGAGCTTCCTCTCCCCATGGGCTCTGCAGGACACCTCCAGCTTCCTCTTCTGTGCAAGGTACGACTGGCACCCGGCTTCCTCCCATGCCCTCATCCATCTCTTCTCTTCCCGACTCCACGCTGTTCCTTCAGAGTCCCTCAAACACCCCAAGTCCTCTGGCCTCACCGACCCCAGAGCCCATGTCTGCATCCCAGGTTAAGGACCCCCATGCCGGGGGTTTACTACAGGACCTTCATGTGCCCTAAGAGGTTTCATTCTTAGACGAGAGGGCTTCAAAAAGGTTGTGGAAAAATGGAATTAAAAGACAGTGAACTTTTTCCACAAGCTTTTTGAAGCTCCCTTCTATGGCCTCCTTTATAACCACCTCAAGATGCTTTCAAAACAGTTTTTTTTTTTTGCCTATAAATAACGATGTCCTGGGGTCCTGTTGTTGAACTGAAGGGTAAGCACTGGACTGCCAACCAAAGTCAGCAGTTCAAACCCAGCAGCTGCTCCTCGGAAACCCTATGCAGAGTCATTATGAGTCAAAACTGATTCAACAGCACTTAACAAATAACAACAAAAACATCAGATGGCTCAGCGCTCACATGCCAGCTGGCAGGTGGGTGGTTTGAACCCACCCAGAAGTGCCTTGGAAGGAAGTCCTGGTCGTCTGCTTCTAGAGTCAGAGCGGTGAAGGCCCGTGGAGCAGAGTCAGCTTGACAGTAATGACAGTAATTATAATATCCTAGGAACAGGTCCCTGTCCTCGGTGAAGAATCTCCTCTCATGGACCTCTGTCTGTCTGGTTAGCAGCCTCCAGTTTGCCTAGATGGGACCTTTCTAGAACTTTCTCTGAAAGCCCTTTGTTTGCATACCACCAGTCCTGGTGTGGCGCTGTGGGTTAATGAGCCAGACTGCAAAGCCGTTTGAACTGCAAGGTCAGTGGTTCAAGCTCACCAGCTGTTCCTCAGAAAGCCTGTACAGGGTCTCTATGGGTCAGAACCAACTCGATGGCACTTCACAACAACCACCACCCCTAGAGGCAGTGGGACGAACCCCAAGAGCTCTGCACTCCAGTGTTGACAGGTGTGACGGGGGCCCGGGGCCGGGCTGCACTGGGATGACCAGCATCGTCTTCAAGCCTCTCCCCGTGGGCACTCGGCTCTCTCGGACACGTGTGTTCCCAGGCCAGCGACTGTTTCTGGGTGCGCATACCACATAGCATGCCGGGCACTCAGCTCTGTAGCCCCTTCTGGAAGAGCTCCCAGCTAGGCCCTGAGGAATTGGTAATGTCGGCACTGTTTTACTGAATGTACGTCCTGTTTGCCTGTAAAATCACCACCAAAGAGCCATGCTGCTTGTCCTTCACTAGCAAGGGGCTGGTGACTCAGCGGTTAAGCACTTGTTTACGCACTGAAAGATCAGTGGTTCGAACCCACCTGCAGGCACTTTAGGAGAACAGCCTAGTATGGTAATGTGCCCCCCGTAAAGACGGCAGCCTAGAGGACCCTGTGGGGCGCTTCTGCCTTGCCCCTTGGGGATCACTGTGAGGAACAGTGGGGTGACGTTTCATGCAATCCAGCTGTGGCTGCAGATGTGGGAGGCTGGGAGTGGACACAGACAGGAGGGAGGGTTGTTGTCCAAGACTGCCACCACTCTGTCCCACCACGCGTCAGAGACCTCCCACCCGTCCGCAGACATCATGATCCATTGTGTCCACTTCACGTGTGGCTGCAGGTTGTCATCTGTCATGACCTTCCGTGGTCACAGAAGACATTGTCCCCGGGGGTGACCATCGAATCCTAGGGACCCAGAGAACCTTAGCTAGTACAGTACTGTGTGACCCTCCAACGGGTCTAGTACACAAAGGGATGTGCGGTGTTGGTGTTGGGGGTCGTCGAGTAAGTTCTGACTCAGCAGCCATATGCACTGCCCGGCCCTGCGTCACCCTTATGTATTGATGAGGTTGAAATCTCTTGGGGTGTGGGGGGGTGGCTCAGTGGTAGAAGTCTTGTCCTCCATGCAGGAGACTCGGGATTGATCCCCAGCCATTGTACCTCATGTGCAGCTCCCCACCCCCATCCGTCTGTCTGTCTGTCCGTGGAGGCTGGTGTGTCACTGGGAGGCTGAACAGGTTTCAGCAGAACTTCCATACTAGGATGCACTAGGAAGAAAGTCCTGGTGATCTCCTTGTGAAAATCTGGCCCTGTGGCACCAAGGGTCCTCTGTTCAGAGCTGACCACGGGGTTGTGCAGGACCGGGCAGCCTCTGTCCTTTCCTACTTGAGGTCACCATGAGTGGGGGCTGACCTCACAGCACCAACAATGACAACAGCATTAGGGACAAGGGGAGCAACCATGACACAAGTGTCTACAGAAGGCTTTCTATTGGGGGTGAGGGGTGGGAGCCATGTTCAGGGAAGAGGACAAGAACCACTGAGCTACAGAAGGCGCCGGAATCGCCATGACCTCGGCCCTCCTGGATCGCTGTTATCAGGGGCCGCCTGGCCGGATGTGAGCCCTGGCCACCCTGTAGGCTTTCCTAGACTGCCATCTTAATGGTGGCACCTCACCAGGCCTTTATCCTTTGCAGCTGCTGGGTGGGTTTAAACCACCAACCTTTGGGTTGACTGCTTAACCACTGCGCCACCAGGGCACCTACCCATCATGTATTGCCTTAAAACTGCTTTGTTTACTTGTGCGTTTTTTCTTTAAATGATTGTTTTATAAATCAGTCTGGGTTTCTAAAAGAAATAAATGGACCAGTCTCCTGGATGTTAGGAGGCTGGAGATCTCTTTGATGAATGTACAATGCATTCCGGTCCCATAACAATAAATCATGAAGCAAAATGGGTATGAGCCGCTGAGTGAGTGGTAACTGAGCTGTGCAAACTTTCTGTCAATTCACAATAAGAAGTTAACCCACCCCCAAAGTATATATAATACAAAACAAATAACATGGCACGTGGTCGAGCCTACAGGTGATCCGTCTGTTTGATTAGCATCATGTGTAGATTCAGTCTTTTTTTGTTTTTGTTCCTCATTTTTTAATGACATTTAACTAGAATACATCTCAGTTCACTGAAGGAGCTTCAAAAAGTGTGTGAAAAGATGAGTTCAAAGATGATGGGGTTGTCTCAGGAGTGTTTTGTAGCCTCTTTGTCACTTTTTATCCCCCAATCTCCAGGCCGCCCATCAACGTGCACCCTCTACTATCTGCTCAGTGGGAAGAGAGTTTGCTGGTAAGAGACTGGCTTCAGGGGCAGTGTTAGCTTGTTTTTACACGTGAAAAGACAGGGGTCAGTGACTCTGTCTGGTTGCTTTGACTACGGTTTGGTCTTTTGCAACATGGATTAAAACCCATGTTCCAGACTCAGAAACAGACCAGGACAAGCCACTGTTGGTCACAGCGAGGGTGGACTCTGAGTGGACACCAGCCCGCAGAATCTGCTGTATGGTGAACTGAGCCCAGAGCCCTGAATAATATGTCTTATGACTTCTCATCAGGAGAGGACTGTGGGAAGAGACATCGTGTTTGTAGTCAAAGTGCATTTTCTTATGGTTGTTGTTACTCAGCGACCCTGTCTGGGGTTTCCAAGGAGCAGCTGGTGAGCTTGAACTACCAATCTTACAGTTCAAACTGACCACGCGGTTCAGTGCATTAACCTGCAGCACCATTTCCCACCAAGCATACCATTTGAGTACGCCAATGCCTTCTCCAGACTTTAAAATTCTGGACTTTATGGGAGACTTGCTGTCCCCTCGGTGGTGGCGCGGTGGTTAAGTACTTGGCTGTTCACCCAAAGGTCGGATTCAAACCCAGCCATCAACTCAACAGGAGATAGACCTAGTGATCTGCTCCCATAAAGATTACAGCCTAGGAGACCCCACAACCGAGGCCCAGTGACCTTGAGTCGACTCTGGATCCCAGTGGTCCTATAGGAAGAGTCCGTCTGTGCCCGAGGATCTCTGAGGCTGTCAGTCTTTAGGGGAGCACACAGCCTCATCTTTCTCCTGCAGAGCAGCTGATGGCTTTGGGCCACCAACCTGTGGTTCACAGCCCAGTGCTTAGCCCACTGCGCCACTGGGAAATCCTATGGGGTAGTCTTGTGCCCTGTGGCGTCGGTATGAGTAGGAATGGCAAGGGCATTGGAGTCCCTGGGTGGAGTAAACAGTTACACACTGGGCTGCCACCTGGAAAGCTGACAGTTTGAATTTACCCGGAGGCACCTCAGAAGAAAGACCTGGCCAGCTACTTAAAATAATCAGCCAGTGAAAACCCTATGAGCCGTTCTGCTCTGTCACTTGGGGTCGCAATGCCGGCGAACCAAATCAGTAACACACAACAACACGGGTTATAAGTCGTCCCTTTGTGGCTGGCTGAAAGGAAGTCCCTAAGCTGGTACCTGGACCTGTGGACCTGGTGCCGCTCACTGTAAGAGGGACCGTGCAGGTGGATGAAGTGAAGGGTCTCAGAATGGGAGGAGACCCTGGGCTGCTCACGGGTCCCATGAGATCACAGGATCTTTATCCAAGGGGGTCAGGAGGGTCAGCATCGGAGCAGAGAAGCTGGAAGAAGCTGCTCTGCTGGTCTGGGAGACGCAGGAGGGGTGAGGCCTGCTGGCCTCTGGATGCTGGGAAAGGCCGAAGATGGTTCTCCCTTGAGCCTTCCTGGGGGGTAGTGGGAGAACGGACAGACCCAGTCCTGCTGACACCTTGATTTCTCCTGGCTTATTGGCCCTTTAATTTAGTTTGTGGTAATTTTGACATACAAAATGAACTTTCTTGATTTAGGTTCTGATCCATGTTTTTCTTGATGATATCTTCTGTTTATGATAAACTTAGGGGACAAGTGTGGACCAGGAAAGCTTTTGAACTACACATTTCCTTGTGTGGTGCTGTGGGCTAAGCACTGGACTGCAAGGTTGGCGGTTCAAAACTCACTAGCCGCTCCTCAGAAACCCTATACAGGGTCGCTAGGAGTCGGAATCGACTCGATGGTACTTAATAACTACACATTGACTCTCTGTTTCTCTCTGGTTCTGTCTAAATACTAAATTCCGGATAAATGGAACCAAGCAACACACACGCTCTGCCAAGTGTGTGTTTTAAGTCCTCGGGCCCCAGAGGGCGGAGCCAAACGGCTCCTTCCGCTTTGAGGCTGTCCTTACAGGATCCGGCAGCCACATGTCTCTCCTGCAGAGCAGCTGGCAGGCGCAACGCTGAGTCTAAGGAATTCTGGTTTTAATTTTTAAAATTTTTATCGTGGCAAAAAATATATGTATAAAATTGCCCATCTCAGCCATGTTGAAGTGTACTATTTACTGACATTAATTACACTAACCATCACTTGGACCTATTTCCCAAAATTTCCCAAACAGAAACCTTGGTCCCCTGAAACAGCACCTCCAAATTCCCCTTCTTCCTCAGCCCTGGAAACCACTAACCCACTCTCTTGTCTCTGTGTGCCTGCCTACTCTTGATTTTACACTTGAGCCCATTGATTCTGAGCATCTTCCAACCTAAGGGCACATTGTCCAGCACTACCTGAGACAATGTTCAGCTACAACTCATAAGCTTTCAACTTCTGGCACTGTACCTGACAATATCCAGCAGCTAACCACTAGGATGTAGCCCATTGCTTCTTCTTCCTCGTCTTTCTTGGTCTGGAAACTCAGCTGAAACCTGCCCATTGTGAGTGACCCTGCTAGTATTTAAAAATGGATTGCATAACTTTCAGCACCATAGCTACACACCAGCCACCACAGTATAGCAATTGACTGATAAGTAGGGCCCCACCATAGTTGCCCCTTGGGCTATGACTTAGTTTGCTCAGCATGATGATTTTGAGATACTTCCATGACATCATGTGTCGCGTCCAACAATGGCTGTACTCCACGACCTGCACAGAGAGATTAAACCTGAGTAGGGGCGACAGGGGATTAGGAAAAAAACAGAAGACACAAAATACAAAATGAAAATAAGTAAAGTTGCGACCAGGTGGGACACAGCATTCTGATGGAGATAATGTGACCCAGATCTAGTGCCACGAGTTTATCATATACACAAATCAAAAGAAAGTGCTGGGGGCAGGGAAAAGAGTACAAAAACATCTGCGATATTGATGCAAGCAATAAGCTGGACTTTATCAAAAGAATGCAGTTGCTATGGAAACAGAGATAGGGCAACGAGATGTTTTTGCAGACTTGAACTGAAGGTCATACAAGGAAAAAACCTTGCACATTCCCTGTCCTCCAAGCAGCCCTGCAAATTCTTCAGGGGGCAGCTTGACCTGGGAGCAACCCAATTTTCTGGACCACAACTGTTCAGTTATAATCCTTCGGTTAAACAACCCCCAACTCTGAGACCTTCAACTCAAATCGCTCCCGACAATCATGTGTATTAGAACTTCATTTCTCCTTATGGCTGAAGAAATGCACTTTTAGAACTAATCTGACCCCACAACATGTAACTCTGTTACGTGGGCTGGAAATGCTACTTACTTCTATGTGAGTCTGTTTCTGGGTTTTCAAGGAGTTTGTCGGTCCTAGCTCCAGTGTTCAAGTGCTTTACAAAGTGATTGCTGTTGTTAAATATCATTGAGTCAGCTCCGACTCGTGGTGACCTTGGGTACAAGAAGATAAGACACTGCCCGGTCTCCAGCCATCTCTATGAGAATTGGCATGTCTGGACCCACTGTTGCAGCTATTGGGTCAACTCACTCCACTGAGGGGTTCACTCCTTTTTGCTGGCCCTTTGCTTTCTAGCAGCTGGACTTTTCTGATGGACCGTGCAAAGTAAATGAACTGAAGTGCCACCATCCTCGCTTCCAAGGAACATTCTGCTTGTGTTTCTTCTAACTGACTTGCTCATTCAGTACCATTCACCAACACCACAACATCCATCCTTCTTCGCTCCTCCTTTCTCACTCTCCAGTTTTTGCATGCACTGGAGGCACTTGAAATGACCATGGCTTTGTCACTTTGGTGACTAACGTGTGCTTTATCTGAAAGTCGTTGTTAGATGCCTTCAAGTCAGATTTCAACTCATAGTGATGCCCAGTTCTGCGCTATCACAATTGTTATCTTTGAGCCCAGCGCTGCTGATACTGGGTTAATCTTTCTCTTTGTAGGTCTTCTGTTTTCACTGACCCTCCACTTTTCCAACCTTTATGTCATTCTCCAGGCACTGGTCCCTCCTGACACGTCCAAAATATGAGAGCTGAAGTCTCGGTGTTCTCGCCTCGCATCTAAGGAACACTCTGGCTGTACTTCTTCCAAGACAGATTTGTTTGTTCTTTGGGTAGTCCATGGTGCTTTCAATATTCTCCTCCAACACCATAACTCAAATACATCGATTTTTCTAACATCTTCCTTATTCGTTGTTCAACTTTCAGATGCATTTGAAGAGACTAAAAATACCCTGGCTTGGGTCAGGCACACCTTAATCCTCAAAGTGATGTCTTTGATCTTTAACACTCAAAGAGATGTGTTGCAGCAGACCTGCCTAACGCAATACATCTGTTGATTTCTTGAATGATGATTGTGAATCCAAGCAAATGAAGTCTTGGACAGCTTTCTTCTTTTCTCCATTGATCGTGACGTTATTTATTGCTCCAGTTGTGAGGATTTTTATTTTCTTTACATTGATGCCATGTTCTTCTCCATATAATCCAGTTTGTTTGGTTACTTGCTCAGCATACAGATCGAATAAGTATGGTGAAAGGATGTAATTCTGGTGCACACCTTTCCTGATTTTAAACCATTTGGTATCCCCTTATTCTGTTCAAATGACTGCCTTTGGGGCTATGTACAGATTCCTCATGTGTACCTTTGTTTTGGAATACCCGTTCTTTGCAATATTATCCATAGCTGTTAAGATCTATACAGTTGAATGCCTTTGTGTAATCAATAAAGTACATCTTTCTGGTATTCTGTGCTTTTAGCCAAGATTCATTGACTTCTTCAGGATTGGAGGAAGACTCATTAACAACCTGTGATATACAGATGATACAACCTTGCTTGTTGAAACCAAAGAGGACTTAAAATACTAATGAAGGTCAAAGAGCACAGCCTTCAGTATGGGTTGTTACCTCAATGTAAAGAAAACAAAAATCCTCACCACTGGACCAATAAGTAACATTCTTATCAATGGAGAAAAGATTGAAGTTGTCAAAGATTTCATTTTGCTTGGATCAACCATCAGCACTCACAGAAGCAGCAGTAAAGAAATCAAATGATGTATTGCATTGGGCAAATCTGCTGCACAAGACCTCTCTAAAGTGTTGAAGAGCAAAGATGTCACCATGAGGACGAAGGTGAGCTTGACTCAAGCCATGGTATTTTCAATAACCTCATATGCATGTGAAAGTTGGACAGTGAATAAGGAATACCGTAGAATTGATGCATTTGAGTTATGGTGTTGGAGGTGAATATTAAAAGTACCATGGGCTGCCAAAAGAGCCAACAGATCTGTGTTGGAAGAAGTGCAGCCAGAGTGCTCCTTGGAGGCCAGGATGGCCAGACTTCATCTCTGATACTTCAGATACATTACCAGGAGGGACCAGTCCCTGAAGAAGGATATTATGTTTAGTTAAGTGGACGATCAGAGACAAAGCAGAAGACCGTCAATGAGATGGATTGGCACAGTGGTAGCATCGATGGGCTTTAATGCAATGATTGTGAGGTTGGCACAAGACTGGGCAGTGTTTTGTTCTGTTGCGCGTAGGGTTGCTATGAGTCAGTACTGACTCGATGACACCTAACAATGACAACAACATTGTCTTCAGCAGTAATATCCCTTGTTCCGCATCCTCTTCTGAATCTGGCTTGAATTTCTGGCAGCTCCCTGTTGATGCAATGCTGTGACCCTTTTTGACTTATCTTCGGCAAAATTTTACTTGCATGTGGCATTAGTGATGTTGTTCAATGATTTCTGTACTCCACTGGGCTACCTGTCTTTGGAATGGGCGCAGATAAGGATCCCTTGCAGTCAGTTGGCCAGGTAGCTGTCTTCCAAATTTCTTGGCATAGATGAGTGAGTGCCTCTATCGCTAGATCAGTTTGTGGAAACATTTCAATTGGTATTCCATCAATTCCTGGAGCCCCGTTTTTCATCAGTGCCTTCAGCACAGCTTGGACGTCTTCCTTCAGTACTGTTAGCTCTTGATCATATGCTACCTCTTGAAATGGCTGAATGTCAACCATTTCTTTTTGGTGCAGGATTCTGTTTTGATTATTAATGGATGCTTGGAGCTGTTTCTTCCCGTTTTGAATTGTACCACATCAGCAAATGAAGGTCCTGAAAGCTTTGCTCCATTTCTGTTATTAAGGTCAACTCTACTTTGAGAAGGCAGCTCTTCCTCAGTCATATTTTGAGTGTCTTCCAATCTGAGGGGCTCATCTTCTGATACTACATTCAACAATGTTCTTCTGTTATCCATAAGGTTTTCAGTGACTGCCCATTCAGAAGTGGGCCACCTCTTCTTCCTAGCCTGTCTTAGTCTGAAAGCTTTGCTGAAACCTGCCCACCATGGATGGCTTACTAGTATTCAAATCCTGGTGGCCTACATCCCAGTATCATGGCAACACATGGCATGACAGTATGACACAGTGACAGACATGGGGTGGCTTAGAAGGTTGTTGTTGTTGTTGTTGTTAGGTGCTATCGAGTTGGTACCGACTCATAGCGACCCTATGCACAACAAAACAAAACACTGCCCGATCCTGGGCCAACCTCACTATTGTTGCCACGTTTGAGCCCATCGATGCTGCCACCTGTATTTGCTGTCTTTGAACGTTTACTCGTACTTTCTTTCCCTCTGTAACTGAATCTGGGCCCAGAAATGTGCTGGGCGCTGAATCTAGTCGTGCTGAGCAGGGACCACAGGCTCTTCAGGGCCTCTTGGTACCTGCCTGGCACTGGTGGAGCCCCCTCCTGGGCAGTGGGGGACCTGCCAAACAGCAGGTCACACCCCCGGCTTCGATGGTACTGTGATTTTATTGAGCTGCTTTATTGAGGTAGAAATTACACACCATACAAGCTGCTCAGTTAAGATGCATAATCCAGGATTCACAGAGCTGTACAACCACCCTCACCATTAAATTCCAGAACATTCCATCAGCCCAAACAGAGACCTGGTGTCCAATAACAGTCACCCCCACCCTCCCTCCAGATAGTCCCCATTGTCCAGTGCCAGGAAATCAACTCCAACTCGTTGGGACCCCCGTGTCACGGGGGAGAGCTGCCACATACAGGCCTCTCACCACTTTCTCCCTCAGAGCTGCTAACTGGGTTCAAACTAGCAACTTTTCACTTAACAGTCAAGGGCTTAGCCACTGTGCCAGCGGCCTTCTTCCTTAGTCCCTAGAACTCACTGCTTCTGGGCCTCTCATGTGACTAGGATCCCACAGTAACTGTCCTTTCACGTCAATCACCATAAGGCTGTCAAACTGTTGGATTAATGCATGTGAGGACCCGACATGCTAGTAATCCATGATGGCCCCGTCTGCTTACTCACACATTCAAATGGCACGTGAGCTACAGACAGACACAGGCTTATATACCTATGTGTGTAGGCGTTAGCTCCCTAGGATGCAACTTCTTTTTTTAAAAACTTTCTTTGTTTTTAAACTTTTTATTGTGCATTGAGTAAAGGTTTACAGAGCAGATCTTCAGACTTTGCAATGCCCTCTTTGCACCAACAGTTAACAGCACTGACCACTATTCACTTTAACCACCGTATTCCTCCCGTGTCTCCCGCCACCCCCATCTTTCCTCTGCCAAACCCCCTCCCATTGTATATTACCTGCCCCATCACCCATGTCAACGCATGTCTACCATCTAGTGCATGTGTATTTTGATACATTTTTTTTTTTTTATTGTGAATTGAGTGATAGTTTACATGGGAGAACATCGGTTTTACACTCATTGTTTCACTGCAATGATTACAATCCCCTCCATGCATCATCATTCAACAGTATTTGCTTCTATTCTCTCGGTTTTATTATATTTTTTGGGGATGTACACAAAAACCATCAGGAATACATAATCATTTAAACAACCAAAGGGCACAGTCTGCAAGCCTGCCTCCTGGCTGCGAGCACACAGCCTTTCTCTTTCCATGAGTCTAGAGTCCTCTGTTTTAAAACTTTTTATTGTAAATTGAGTGAAGGTTTACGGAGCAGCTCTTCAGTTGTGCATTACACAAACCATACACCTTGCTTCATCACAAGGATTGTAAATCCCTTCCTTGTAATAACAATCACCCCCTTCCTCCCTGTGGCTCTCAACACTGTCCTTTGGTAAATGTTGCCCTTTTGATCTTGAATGGTTGACCATACCTTACTAGTATTGCTGTCCCACCTTGGATGAAAATTGGGCAACAGGATGAGTTCTGTTCCAGACCTGAAGGGTAGCCCAGGGCCATAGTCTCAGATTCCTCCAGTCTCTTTCTGACCAATAAACCTGGTCTTTAAAAATTTTTTTTTATTAATTTGAGTTTCATTCCACATCCATTTGAATGCTGACGGGGTCACCCATGACAGCTTTCAACTGAGCTTCCAGATTAACACTGAACAGGAAAAGATAAAAACATTCACTGCTCAATCCGCCCAGGAGACAAGCTAAAATGTTAATCAGGTTACTGAGTGGGACCAATCCTCTGGTTTCCCTCCTGTCTTCAAACAGGTCGGTAACCTAACCCCTCCCCGATTCAGACCCCATATAAGTCTGCACTGCCCTATATTCGGCCACTCAGAATCTAGAGATGCTAGCTTAATAAAACCGGAAACTCTGCTTCACCTCTCCGAGTGGCCTAGGTTGACGACTCAAGAGCTGCTATGACACTCTCCAATTTAAAACTGCTGTTGATAAGACCTCCAAACTAGGATGTACCCCAGAAAGCTTGTCCCAGGTCTGACCGGGCCCCAAATATCTTGAGTAGTTTCAAATAACAAGAACTGACAAGTTTCAAAGGCCATATGTCCCAAATAATATCCAATTGTAGCTGCATGCTCAAACCCAGTGTAACAAGATGTAGATAAACCAGAGTGTCAGTTCCCAGAATATGCAGACAGCCTGGGAAAACAAACACCAGGTGCCAGTTTACAGAGACATATTGTGTTCCTTCATTCCAAGAGAATAACCTTGCTTTTTGCTTCTGTACCCAGCTTGTTCCCCTTTCCCTGAAGTTTTAGCCTTTTAAGCCGCCCCAACGTCAGAAAGACGCTGATCAGCAATACTCTTCATTTCCAACTCTGTGTCTCTGCAGCGGTCTCTCCAATCTCACTCTCGGATTCGCAGGTCTAACACTAACACAGAGACTAAAAAGAGGAGAGTCAGACTACTTCTGAATGTTTAGTGGCTGAAAACCTTAAAAACAGCAGTGGAACACCGTCAGCGCAAGAATATTGAATATTGAAACATGATGAAGAGCATCAGAAAATTGGCAGATATAATCAGGGAAGATGAGCCCCCTCAGGCTGGAAGGCATTCAAAATAAAAAGAGGGAGACCCCCAATGAGATGGATTGGCA